CAATGGGAGTCGGTTTGCACTTTTCAATCTAATCCACGCATCGATGCTCGTCAAGCTAGCACTTTTTGTCTACTGAGTGCATCTTTATATCCAGTCATTTTTCGACTTTGGTGCCATCTCCTTCAACGTCCACTCTTCTACACTGTTTATTATGTTTCCTCTGACAATACGGATATCCGATCTAGCTACTCGGGTCACGGAGCTGCCAATTCCCAAACGCAGGACATGCCTGGCGGAACTTGTATGGAGCACCCGGAAGACGGTATATACAGTCAAAATATGGCAACTTCTACACGTTCATTCGTTGCATCGTTCCCCTAAATGTTTACATCGGGCACGAAACTGCACCGCGTGCGTCATGTGACACGTGTGCACTCGGATGAGCCATACATATATGTTCGCGATGTGAGATCACGTGGTCGCCTTACCACCGACTGCACTGGTACGGTGAATTTCGTAGGCACGCGAAGTTGTGTGGAACCTTGCACTTGTGCAACAGTCGATGGCAAAGCGATCACATGATCACACTTCGTGAACACAGTCCATGGGTATGGCTCATACGGGTGCACACGTGCAACGTGTCATATGACGCACACGATGCAACTTCAAGTGTGATCGATGCAACGAATGGAGGTTTGGACGCGTAAAAGCTCGCTTATTGGCTGTTCCAGCCATGCACTCGCGATTGAGCTTCAAGGTGGGTCATTCTCTGGTCCACTGCCATTGGCTTGCCAATCGGCTTCAGATGGCATGCTGCCAATCTTCTCCGGGCTGTTTTAGAGAGAGTTGGCATCGATTGCTACGATGGAAAGGCTCAACACATTTTACTTTAAGCACAAGCTTCTTCCACACCTATGTTTTTCTTCACCAACAGGCGGTCCAACATTTTCTATCTGTTCGCTTTACGCCTCTGCACGTTCTCTGCATATCGTGGACATTTGCGCACACTAATTTCCCGCTGTTTTATTTGCTTCAGCGGCACTGATGTTTGCATCTCAGGCTCTTCCGTCTGCCGTTCTGATCGGCTACCTATGCTTCTTGTTGGTACTTGAATCTGGGACTCTATTCTTATCTGGAGGTATATCCCTCCTGATGCGTTACACACTGGTCCCCACAGTCACTTGGGAGAAGCAATTGGAATTAACTTTTGAGTACTTACATTTTAGATTATTTTTACCTGTGTGAAGCACTGCGTGTGCGTTAGAAACGCTCAGGAGGAACAACATGTGTAATTTTCCTTCGGCCGACTTCGCGCTGTCCTATGGTGGCTTACCGGTAAAATATTGGCTTACCCATGTATTTTTTTCACAGGCCCTCACTCAAGGTCAGCTGTATACCATTGTTGTGGATTTCGCTATCCCGGACAGTCCTTTTAATCAAGCATCAGGTTAGTTCCTCAGGTTTATGACGTTTATTGCTTTTCCTCCTGTTACCACCGTGTTCGATATAGCGTCTACACCGTTCAGCTTATTGTAGCTCCGCAACTAAATTACACAATTGAAATGAGCGGCATAATGCACCTTATCTTTATTCGATCGAAAATCTGGCTTCGTGGCAACGCAGATAGCCACTCATTTCCCTCTTATTTCGCTAATACGATCCGGGTACACAAAATTACAGCCACATACTTTTAAAATCGGTGATTTATATCCGCATCGTTCTCACGCGTACTGTTGTGCTCCGGGAGTTCTCACCTCGATGAGGCTAAAACTTAACGTGATGCGGTTTTGCTCTCCATTTAGTCTCTTCCCGTTACGTTGAGTAGCATGTTCCATCTGCTTTCAGAGCTGCTGGTTTTAACTCGGTTAATGTTTAGATGTCAGACAAACTGTCCCAGCATTCTCTTTGCAGGTTGAAGAGATAGATGGCCGTCTTCCTTCAAGACGGTGCCTTTGGAGGCGATTGGACGCGGATTATTAGCGGGGAAGATATGTGTCTGCTTTCTGTTTTTGATATTGGATATTTGTAGCAGACTGCTCGTGTTTGGTGGCGATGCCGACTTCACAGCAGTATAACTAGACTTCGCGTTCAGGGAAATGCGGTTATCCCCTCTAACAAGCCAGTTTTCCTGCTCCATTTCAGATGCCTCAGTCACATCCTTTGCATGCCACTCGAACGTTGACCGTGCCGTGCCCTATTCACTGGTGCAGGAATGGTCTAGAGGCAACCACGAGGTTTTCAGTCTTCCACTTTACGATGGTACATGAAATCACTGACGTTGCTGCTATCAACCGTTGGCTCTACGGGTCCTCTTGGCTGGTGACTCAAAGACGAAGAGTGTCAGTGGTTCGAACATATGGCTCACAACGGAATCAGTGGAAGACCTGTGTGCATAATCGGCTAGGCTCATGTTTCATGCCGGCCCATTGCCTAAAGGATCACAAACCTGTTGTGTAATTCCAGGACGCGTGTTCGAGCTTGCGTAGGGGACCGAGCGACCCTCGCGGTATCCTTACCCTATGCGCGACTGTTGCGCGGCAGCGAAGCCTTGATACTGCGTACCTTATGTTTAATGCAGCTAACCTTGAAAATGAAAAATGACTAAGTCAATACCAGAAAATAATTATTGGTTAAGAATTTCTCGGGTAAACTCTCATCAGACGCAATCTTTTACAGAGCAAGGCAGGCTGGGGATTGCCTTCTAAGTTGTTTGAACAGCCAATTCGATTACTTTGGGCCTTGCTATAGATGGTAGGCCAAGTGAACACCGGCGTGTAAAAACAGTGTTCGGTTTCCCTTTTGCGAACATTGCACCTCCTTTTGAATTCCATTGTTTTCATGTCTATACCTTAGGCTGCTGATTATATTGTCGCACATTAAACACCGTCAGCTACACTGTATCGGGTACTTCGTCTTTCCTAAGCTGTTTTGCGTTCCGGTTTAACTGGTATCTTTTTTAACTGCTCTGCAGGTAACTGCTTACCGGTTTGCGTTTGTGCTTCTTATTGCATAATTTGGTCGACTGTGTTGTGGTTCGACAGTATTGATGTGGTTCTCTTCGATTTGCAGTCCTCGTCCTATTTGAATTTTAACCGAATCTATCATGTCACGTTCACAGAATAGCTTCACTTGTGATTTTTGGTCGCGTTGGCCGTTGAATCTATTGCAGTGTTTGGCATCCTGCGCTTGCTTTTGTTGCCAACGCAACTGCTCAAAACCACTCATGGACGATTCTGATGACGTGCATTGCGATTTGTACTGGCTTGAAGTCCGAAAATTGCACATTGCTGTCGACCGGTGAAAGCCTGCCATTTATCTGTGATGATTGCTGTAGCTTCCGGCCTTGGCATCCTGTTGCCGCAGATGATACTTCGAGTAAAGCCCGGTTGGGAAACGAATTAGCTCATGATGACACTTATGGCTCACATCGATGTCTGTTCACTAGGTGTGGATATTCAGTCTACTTGGCCTGCCGTTTGTACTAGTGCGAACTCGGCATCGTCGAGTACTCAGTCCACCAGGAGTGATATTTCCTCTGATAGTATCCGAATCCCTGATGCGTATTATTTTTGGATTTAAACATTCAATACTCAACAATTTAAAATGGCAAAATACGGAAACGGCGTGATATATATATATATATATATATATATATATATATATATATATATATATATATATATATATATATACCGTTAACCACTAGGAAGTGTGGCTGGTTTTGGATAAGTTTGTAAGTTTAATTTTAAGTCTGCACAGTGGTGTGCGGGCGACGATGCAGCTGAATGGACAGACCTCGGATGACTTTGTAGTTATCTCTAATGTGAAGCAAGGCTGTCTTAGCTCCTGCCCTATTTATTATTTATCTTCATGCCAGGATGTCCTGTGCTTTTGATGCGGCTTGTGCTTACGGTGTTCGTGTGGAGCACCGTCTTTATGATGGCTTGCTGCACATCCGTTCTTTCGGTGCGAGAACTCTAGTCTGTGAGACAACTATCCGTATGTTGCTGTTCGCTGAGGACTGTGCGTTATTTGCACACAGCGCGGATGAGTTGCAGTTCATGAATAGTACCCTGGCTTCGACAGCGGCAAAATTCCGGCTCACCATCAACACAAGCAAAAGTGTTTGTCTCTTTCAGCCTTTATCGGAGATGCAATCTTCAATATTGCCTCAAATCAGCATTGGTGATGACGTATTAGAAACCACCTCTCGCTTCTCCTACCTTGGGAGTGTGGTTTCGACTGATCAGCGGCGGCATTCAGGAAGCTAGAGTACCGCGTGTGGAACAAACATCAGCTTACCGTTGGCACGACGTTGATGGTGTACAAATCCATGGTGCTGTCCATTCTTCTATACGGCAGTGACACGTGGACAATATACCGGCGGAATGTGCGATATCTCGAGCGGTTCCATCAACGGTGTCCGCGGCGTATTGGTTGGTGCGACAGTTTCGGACATGGAAGTGTAACCTCGAATTGGAATGTATACAGTGGACTGAATACTTGTGCTGAGATACCTTAGGTAGGTCGCTCGTGTGGGGCGTATGTATCCGACGAGGATACCAAAGCAGCTATTATATGGTCAACCGAGTTTTGGGGAAGCGGCACTTGGGGAAACCGAAGGTTCGTTACCAGGACATGATCAAAGTGAGCCTCTCGCTTTCTAATCCTGATTGCAGGTCATGGGAATCGAAGGCGGTTGATCGGCGTGCATGGCGCGATCTGATCACGAAGGCAGTTGTGGAAGTGCGGAAGAGAGACCTCATGCATGCAGAGAATAAGCGGGAACGGCCGATGGGTTGTACTTCATCGACATCGAGCGCATGGTGCTGTAGCGCATGCGGTCGCGAGTACCTGAGTCAGGCAGGCCTAGTGAGCCATGAGCGAGGCCACTCGGGGCCAACACTGAAACAACGACGGATCCTGCAGAGAACGTAGGCAGAACCGACGCAGCGTTTGTAGATACGCTGCATTCGCCTTACTAACCGCTTGCTTGCGTGCTGAGTTTCTTTATTTCAGGTGGTAGGTTTGCTTGCTTGTCTTAATGCCGTTTTTTACCTCATTATAATTTCTACCTGAATAGCGTTCTATTAACCTGCACACGTCGCTTAAACCAATTGGGGTTAAGTTCGCTAGCATTTTCGCGTTTTTGAAATTCCAATTTTTAAAATATATTTTATGGTATCTTGAACTTATCGCGGATTAAATGTAACCAATTTGCAGGAGGAATGCAGAGAGCGACACCAGTCATTGTACTCGCTGTTTATTGGCTTCACTAAGGCATTTGACACGGTGAATTGCGAGACGCTGTGGCTGATGTTGGGTAACTTTGATTGTCCGACTAAGTCTGTGTTTAACTGGATGTCTACACAGTGGTATGCTGACGAGAGTGTAGCTGAGTGGACAAACTTCGGATGACTTTGATATTGTTTCTGATGTGAAGCATGGCTCTGTCTTAGCCCCTGCCCTATTTATTATATACCTTCATGCAGTGTTGTCTCGTACTTCGGATGCTGCTTGTGGTGTCCATTTGGGGCACCGTATTGATGGTGGGTTACTGAACATCCGTCGTTTCGGGACGAACACTATGGTGTGTGAGACAACCATCCGGATGTTGCTGTTCGCCGATGACTGCGTTGTTTTCACAGAGCGCGGATAAGTTGCAGCACATGACTTCGGCTCTTGCTTCAACAGCGGTCAAATTCGGGCTCACCATCAACACAAGTAAGACTACTTGTCTTTTTCAGCCTTCTTCAAAAATGGAGTTCGGAGGCCTGCCCCAAATCCAAATTGCTGATGACGTGATGGAGCAGCATTGAAATTTTGCTATCTTGGAAGCGTAATATCAACCTAACTGCATATGATGTGCGAGCTGCTCGTGCGCGCATTGATAGCTGCTGCTACCTTTGTCGGACTGGAGAATCGTCGTGGAACAAACACCAGCTTACTGTTGAAATGAATCTGATGATATACAATTCGATGGTACTGTCTGTCCTTCTATACGGCATCGAAACGTGGACGATGTACCACAGGGATGTCCGATTTTCGTAGCGATTCCAACAACAATACCTGTGTCGTACTCTGCTCATCGGCTATGGTGACAGTTGCTGACACGGAGATACTTCGCCACAGTGGCATGTATGCAGTGGATCACATACTTGTGTTGCGGCACCTGAGGTGGCTGGGGCATATCAGCCGAATGAATTCGATGAGGATACCCAAACAGTTTTTGTACGGCCAACTCAATGCAGGGAAGCAACACGTGGGAAAATCGAAGTTACCTTACCAGGACATGATCAAGGTGAGTTTATCACGAATTAACGTTGACCTCAGGTGTTGGGAATCATGTATTTGATTGGCGCGAATGACGTCATCTGATCAAGTAGTCGGTTGTCCTGGTCCATTAGAAAGCATTATTGCACACGGCGGAGGAACGCCGGGTACGGA